ATTTTTCTCTCTCTCTCTTAAACATCTAGCTGATTTTCTGAGTTTTCTCTCCTCTGATTCCCCAGGATTGTGTCATGAAAACATTGTCTTGAAAATACAGTGCTCAAGCATTCCCGGTTTTAGTCAGCTGTGAAGCATGATCAGGTGCATCTTTTCATTTAGAGTCATTGGTAGGCTTTTACAAAAACACAGAAAGAGGAAGGAGGGACAGAAGGAAAGGCTTGCCCCTTGCCTAGCTCTGGATTAATCAGGGTGAAGTGTCTAGTAATCACATTGTTCCCAAAGCCTACAGAAAATGAGGTAAGCAGCAGCATCAGATATAGTTGCCTTTGGAGACTACTAGTACTGACACACATGAATAAAAAAACTTACTATGTTGCCTGGAAAGAGGGCACAATTAAATGCCCTGTATCTCAGGCTTTAGGACAGGAGGCTACAGAAATTGTTTCGGGTTTTTTTCCCCTCCCAGAAAAAAATGATTGGGTTCAGTGGGACTCTTCCACAAGTGATTTGTGGACTTGGAGTTTTGAAATTGCATTTTGTATTTTAAAGAGAGAGAAAGGCATAACATAGCATCTATCTGTTATTTGATGCAACATATGCAATAATAATTGGTAGAAGTACAGTAAACCTGTTTTTTTCCCTCCGTCTTTTCAGACGGCTTTACAATTTTCAGTACAACATCACAAGTGGGCTTTTTGTCTGTAGAAATGTGCTAAACAGCTGTGCTCCAAACATCTCTGAAAAGGCATTAGAAATTGGCACATGGCAGATACCGCATTCAAAAAAAGAGAAAAGATTTGAAGTCATCCTGCAATGCAAGTCAGCACCACAGGAATGCTAGTGCTGTGCAGCTATGTGCTGAGTAGAATACCACATATGCTTTTGAAAAAAGCCAAGATAGTTGGTGAGCTTTTACACTGGAAAAATAACACCAACCTCAAGGATATTGCTGTGACCTGCTTTCTTGCCCTTGTGGACCACCGTTTGCAGGATCACAGCTTGCTTCTGATCAGTCTGCTAGAGAGATTTGGATTCTGCCCTGACTTTCAGAGCCACCCTCACCTCCTGCTCCCCAGAATTCTCCCAAGAATCCCCTAAAAGCAGATGTATGAGAGTTTCTGGCCAAAAACATGCACCTATAGACACTTACATTTTGCTCACCTGGAGCAGGACCTTGATGGATGGCTTTCTCTAGCCTTACTCCCTGTTGTTAATGTTTTTAAAAAAAGGAATTTGCGGCAGTGGTTCTTGTGAGTTGTAGTCTCACATTGCCCATTAGCTCTATAGAGGGTGCCTCTTGAACAACTATGTCTCCCAGGAGTGACTGCATAGGTTTTACTCAGTTCCCAAACTAAGCTCCTTGTGCAAAAAGGAGCTTTTACACATGGGGGGGGGGGGAGATCTTGCTGGACTGGATGAACAGTAAAATGTTAAAGCAATAAACTTTGTTACAACGTCTAGCAACACAGTGCTCATATTCTTAGTAGTACTGGATCTGTACATGCCCCAGACAAGCTTTTATCAAACCACTTAACCTCTTATCCTTTTCTATCCCAACCAACGTTCTCCTCAACTGCTGCAACTGGATTCTGTTCAAATGGCAGAAACTTATCTCTATCAGACAGCTCCAGGTCTCAGCTGCCAAGCCTTCCAGATCATTTTGCTACAAACTGAATGCTTTAATACACATCTTCAGATTTGGACTGTTCAATATTCAGTGCTCGTCATTGATCGACTGTAAGGGAGGAGGAAAATACCGTTGCGATTCCTTCCTTCCTTCCTTCCTTTCCTCTCTCTCTTCCTGAACCAACTGTGTTCACAAGGCTGTATAGCTCAGTGGTTTAGGTATTTGGCTGTGGAGCCAGAGGTCAGGAGTTTGGTTCCCCACTGTGGATCCTGGAGATAAGAGCCACCCTGTGTAGCCTTGGGGGCAAGCCGCACAGTCCCAGGGCACCCCCAGAAGAAGGGAATGGGAAACCACCTTTGACTATTCTCTACCTAGAAGATTTTCAAACTTTGACTGGATCAAAGTGTTAGCCTTCAAGGCATCCCGTGATTCTTTGCCATTTCAGCAACAACAGATCAATATGTGTAGTGCTCTGGAATTAATTAGTTGGTTTTATTTTGCTATTCAGCTAGAAAAATTGTTAACCTGGAACTGTAGTTCTAAACCTTGGGTCCCCAGGTGTTCTGGGTCCAAAACTCCCAGAAATCCTGGCCAGCACACCTAGCGGCAAAGGCTCCTGGGAGTTTTAGTCCAAGAACATCTGGGGATTCAACATTGGGAACCACTGGGCTAGAGGTATCAGAAACTCAACTAAACTCTGAGTAGGTAACTCAAGGTCTATACTTGGCTGATGTGCAACAGTGATTCCTCTTGCTAGGAATGTTGTAGTACAGCAAGACGCTTATCATAATAAAGTCAGTATTAGCTCAGCATGGTTGCAAGAAAACATTTAAGGAATTTTTCCCCCTTTTCTGTCCAGTCTTGAATCTTTCTTTTCGTAAGTGGGTTTCTATTTATTTCTATTTGCTGCTGTCCTTCGTAAGATCTGCTTCATATTCTGCTTTCTACCTTGGTGGGCAGAAATACAGTAAACAACTCCTTTAAATGAAATAATATGCTGAAGAAAAGGCTACTTTTTCTTTTACAGTTATGGCGGGGGGGGGGGAAATAATGTGCTAATAGCATACCTTAATTTCTGTTCAGACCAAAGATATTTTGCCCACATGAACCCTTTTTGGTATAACCATAATACTCAGTCTAACATCAACATTCAAAAAAGAAAATGTACATTTTTTTCTGCAGGATTGCTATATAATGTAACTACAAGAACTTGTTACATCTTTTTGTTGTTGTTTAAAATTTATATCTACCCCTTTCTTCTAGTAAGTTGAAGGCATCATGTGTAGTTCCCCTTTTCCATTTTTTCTTCACAAGAACCATATGTTAGAGGAGAGTTTTAGAGTCTCAGAGCAAATCAGTCCTGAATTTTCTCTAGAATCAAAATGGATTAATGGATGCTGAGCAGGTGTGGCTGATGTGAAACCATCCAGTGAAGTTCATTATAGAATGGGAATTTGAACCCATGTCTCCTTGCCTATCACTCTCAATTTTGACTCATGCTTTGTGGCTGTGGAACATTTTGAAGACATTTATTTAAAAGCCAATATAGAAAACTTAAAAATGAGTGTATAGATGGGACTGTAGTTTAGTGTGCAATTCAAATTCACATTTTTCACATTCAGTGGTAAGAACATGCTTAAAATGTCTGATATTTATGTGTTTAGGATTATGAGTCAATACTGGATGACTTCCAGTCTGGTTTCCAGTTATATTTATGGCTTTCAGTACCATTAGCAAATTCCTTCTAATTCAAATCAGACTGAGTTAGAATAAACCAATCTATTATTCTTTTTAAAGGGAATTAGCAGGACTTATTTCTAAATGAATCCAAGGATGTCTTCACCATCTTTTCCTTCAGATAAGACAGACAAGGAGCATCCAGGTTTAGCCCATTGCATGGTGAAGCAGAAAAAGTGGCACAGATTTTGCTCGTCAGGCCTTGCATGGTTGACTCCAACCCTTCCTCTCATGTTTGGACCGGAGGAGGAGGCAGGATCAGCATGCAGCTGCCAGGATAGCCCCTGCCCGTCTCCAGCTTCCAAGTTAGGAGGAATAGCAATACAAAGTTTAAAATGGCATACGTTAGAGGAGAGCTAGGTAGGTGGGGCTCGTCAGCCATGGAAGGCAGCCCATCTAGGAGAAGGAAAACTCCAATTTCAAACCTCCACTGCCTTGTGGCTATATCCACTCATGGAAAAGGCTTCAGGAGTTAACCTCGAGGCAAAATCCGGAGCTGGAGTCCCGAAGGCAGCTCGTGTCGTTCTGCCAACTCCTGCGACGTTGCTGGAACCAGTCGTATTGGCTCTTGCCTTTCCATTGGACCATTTCAGCAATGTGGAGAGGGGGGATCTGCTGCTTGGGTAACAGCCTATCCTCCATATTACCTTACCCGGGCTTCATGCTCTGGAGAGGACACTCCTCGATTCAGAGCATGTTACCATAGTCTCTCGAGACTGAAGGATGCCTATGATGAGAGGAGAGCTTTAGGCAACACCTGGAAGACAAAGAGGTGGGCATTAGAGCAGATCATTCCTGAATTCTCTAAAGAATTTAAAAAAATCTCTAAACTGAGACGGTTGCACTTTTGAGATACCATGACAGGACAACATTCACAGCTAAAAACAATAATGGTAGGTAAAGTAGAAGGCAACAGGAAGAGAGGAAGACCAGGCAAGAGCTGGATTCATATCTCCACAACCTTTAGTTTCCAAGACCTGAGTAGAACAAGTGAATGATGGGTCGTTTTGGAGGTCTCTGATTCATAGGACGGAAGTCACTTAACAGCACATAACAATAATGTGAATACATTTTAAAAAAAGTTTCTGTGAAAAGAAGCATAACACGTTAGCATTGCTCTCTTCTCTTTGAATAGAAATGCAACCTCAGCAGCTCTTATGTTTGGCTGCCTGATGTATCCTTTTCAAAAACTTCGTATCTCCATAGAAGTACAAAATAGATGTCTTTTATATTCATATACTACCTGACACAAGCATTACAGCTTAGCAAGTAGACCTCCTGTTTTTAAACGACTAGCTGGCTAGCATGCCTAATAAGCATTCACTGAGGTGTGGATACTCTTTTCCAGGAGCTTACAATCTTCACAAAAAGCAAAAAACGTTTCAGGCAATTTACTCAGAATTGCCTTCAGCTGAAAAGAACATTATTTATGTGGCTCTTGAAGCAGTCTCTCCCATTTAAATGCATCTCTTTCAGCTTGTGTTTCTGGAATCTTTTCCTATGTGGTTGGTACAATGTGTGAGCAAAGCTAATCAAATTATTTTGACGAGAGAAAGACAGCTAGGTTGGTACCATTTTTGAAAAATGTGCCTGCAAATCATTGCGCTCACTTTTTTTTCCTTCTGTTTTTCAGGTTCACACATTCAGGGGTCCACATTGGTGTGAATATTGTGCCAACTTTATGTGGGGCCTCATTGCTCAGGGAGTGAAATGTGCAGGTAACAATGATTTCTGTCTTTTTTTTTTCATTTCCAATACACAATGAAATGTGCTCTCCCCATTTTGAACTGAGCTCCAGTCATAGATTTTAAAAAAGATTCCCATTTGCATTGAGAAGAATCTGGATCAGCCCCTTGTGTTGGTCTATTCATATATCAATGATTTGGCATTCTACCTTTTAGCATAAAAATTCTGACATTAAAAAACAGAAGATAAAATAGTAGCAAAGTAATAATAAAGCAACCAAGGGTGCAACAAAAAATAGCTGAAAAATCCTGATTGCTCAAGGCTTCCCCAGTTACATATAATTATTGGTTGCTAGAATATCAGGGAAGAAAGGGAGAGAGAGAGAGACTGAGACATCAACAAGGTGTTTCAGCATTTCAAAACCAGAATAAAATCAAGCTATAAAAATACAATGCAGATGCAGACATTAAACACTATTAAAAGGTGTAGGAAAGAGCATAAACATTACACCCATAGGAGGTAAAGTTGAAATTACAGACTCCTGCCTGTCTATACTAGATACCAATGCCAAATGAAGACAAGGAGTGACCCCGTGTATACACATCACACATGATATTCCTTATATATCAAATCCATACACAGGATGTGTAGCTACTGTTTTGTGCAAACTCAGGTGTGTCTGCGCTGTATATTTTGGGAATTCATCCTGCATGAAAATCAGAGAGAGAACATTTCAACACAAATTGTTGCTGGTATAGGTACCGGAATGTCATTTTAGGGATAATCAGTCATGTTCACACTTATGTGGCATCAATTATTGAAGTTAATTTCTTTTGTCAAACAAGGACCTTAGAATGTTTTCTGGGCAGAGAAAACTTCTTCCCCCCCCCCCCGGCAAACAAATGGTTGAAGAACTATTCTGTTCCATCATCTGTTATTACATGTTGTAGACACATGATTTCTCTGCCTGTAGGGTAAGGTGAGGGGTCTGGCCAAACCCCCCAAATTGTGCCCCTCCACTGAAGTGCACAGGAAGCTTGCAGACTGAGCCTAATGCTTGGGGTTAGGTTGTTTTACTATAAAGGCAGTAGTAGTAGATGGCAATAGCTCGTAAGGCTCTGCCAGCCCTGTTCTGATTTGAGACAGAAATTCCAAACCGTATCTTCTCCCTCTAGGTATACCACAAGGTGGTTTACAGATGATCAGAGATGGCAAAAGTTACTTGCTTGAATTTCAGACAAGTCAACCCCCCCCCCCCCAGAAAACCACAGCCAGGAGCCATGCTGGCTGGGGCATTCTGGGAATTATCCAAAAAACAACTTCCCCTCCATGTAGATAAGGGATATAGCATCATAGGTAAGCCAGCTGCCCAGTGAGCTCTCTGCCATTTAGACGGGCAGCCCCCTTACCCAGCTCAGTCTTCGTGGGGAACTCTTCCGGTTTTTTGCCATCATTGGCTTTGAGGAGGTCCTTGAAAGAGTCAATCCCTCCCTTCCCATTTGAAAACCACAGGTGTCTTCAGGAGGGAGCAGCAGCGGTCCTTGCCTCCCCCAGAATCGTGAAGGTAGTGTTTTAATGTATGCACTGTTGCAATGCACTGTTGCAATGGCATGCATGCACTGTTGCAATGGCATGCATGCAGCACGCCTGAAAATTGCATCAATGTACCACTGTGCAGCCCTACCCCCCAAAAGACACACCAGTTCGGCGCTGGGATGTTAATAGAGCAGACAGGCAACCCTTTTGTCACCCACAGCACCAATGTCTGTGCCTCTTTGGACAGATTTTAAGGTAGCCATTTTTTTTAAAGAACTGCAACATGAAAGCTGATTTAAAATACCCATGGAAAGGCACAGAAGAAGGAAGAAAATGGGCAGCCTGACTGATGGACAGAAAGGTGGTTGAACAGTAGAACTAAGTGAGATCCCACCCACAGGCTCCTTGTGCCTCTTCGCAGGTGTCAAGGCAGTGTAGGGTGAGCGACACAATGCATTCCGGAGCCCCTCCTGCCCCAGCCTGGTGCTATGTGAATGTCTTGGTCGACCTGTCCATTGTCCTCTGCCTGTATGTGTACCACGTGTGCAACAGTTGATGGTTTGCTATCTTCTAAGGACAGCACCAAAAATTTGCTGCCTGCGAAGGCTTCCTCACTCTGGCAGCACTGTGGAAGTCTTGTGTTCCAACTGATTTCATTTTACACCCCTCTATACCTTTCTTGGGCTGACTGGATAGTTCAGTGGTTAGCTATCTGGATGTGGATCTAGAGGTTAGGAGTTTGATTTCCCCACTGTGCCCGATGGGAGAATAGCCAGCCTGTGTGACCGTGGTCAAGCTGCACAGTTCCGAGACGCCCCCAGAAGGAGGGAATGGGAAGTCAATTCTGAGTAAGCTCTACCTGGAAGATCGTGAAAAGGTTTTCCATAAGTCAGAATGAATTTGACAGCACAGGATGATGATGATGATACCTGATACCTTTCTTGACTAATCTCTTAAACCAGTATAGTTTTGATTGAATGTAAGGCAATATAAAATGCATTAAAAACATAGAGGGAGTGGCAAAATGCTTTCTCAGAAGTTGGTGAGGAGTGTTCTTGTTCTTGAGAGTGCAGAGCATTGCATTTCCCTGGTTGTGGCCTAAATAAAACAAAAGCAAGAAAAGAGCAATTCTGCCTCAAAATACAATAAAAAGAGCTCTGCTTATTGATTCTCCCTATCCATCATTAACATCTTTTAAAAGTAACTAGGAAAGGCAACTAGATCATATTACAGTGGTGCCTCGCAAGACAAATGCCTTGCAGGACAAAAACTCGCAAGACAAATGGTTTTGGCAATGGGAGGGTTGATGACTCGCAAGACAAATGTTCCTATGGCCGTGCTTCGCAAGACAAATGTTTTCTGTTTTTTGTTCATGCCTCATGTTTGCTGATTTTTAAATGTTTTTCTATGATGTTAAAAAAGTTAAAGCTTTTTGATTGAAATTTTTGAAATCATCTGCACAATATGTATGGCTTTAAAGAGCACTTAATAAACTCTTTGTAAACCAAATTTGACTTTGTTCTGACTTTTTTTGCCCATAGGAACACATTAATTAGATTTCAATGGGAAAACACATTTCACACGATGAATTTTTCACAAGACAACATTAACCACGGAACAAATTAAATTTGTCTTGCGAGGCGCCACTGTATTTGTTATACCAATAGAAGACCTTAATTCCCCATCATTATATGACTTCGCAAATATAATTTTATATTGTCTTCATTGCTTCCCCTTCCAAAAGAATATTGTGTCACAGGTAACAGCAATGTAATTTGTGGCTTGTTGCTTCCAAGCAAGGAAAGTGTGTAAGCCTACCGTTGCTATCTTAACCTCCTACTAGATAGAATGTAGTTAGATCTCTGGTGCGGCAGAAGAATGCTGTATGTAATTAAATGAAAATAAGGCTGACAGGAGCTTAAAGCTACCCACGTTTTGTATTCACTGTCATTGTGACAACTTAGTACGATAGAAAACCAGGCCCATCAGGAGAAAGCATGAAACAGGCAGGAGGAAACCATCCAAGAGATGGTGTCCTAAGGCTGTTGCTTTTAGGAACAGTTGCTGCGGGTGGGGCGAGGAGACAGGGAGCAGGGAAGTGGAATGTGGGTCTTCATACATGGTTGGTAAACTGGCTGTCCAGTGATAGGGGGGCAGGTTTCTATAGGAGAGCCCCACCCATCTACAAAGCTGCGGGTACGCACCACAGAGGCATGTAGGCACAGAGTTGTATTTGGGTCTCTTGCTGCAAGTCTGCTGGTGACAAACCAAGAGCTCAGTCGCCGCCTTCCTAGAAATCATTATCGCGAGAAGGGTTTGGGATGCAGGCCCCTTGTTTTCTTTAGAGGAGGGCTTCATCGGAGATGGGCTTTTTGACAGGGATCTCATCCCTGGAGCCTACTTCAGATGCCAGGAGGACGTAGCAAGCAATAGGGATATCCGTGCAGAGCTCAAGTTCATCCTCACCGCTGCCTTGATAAACTTGGGACATTCAGAGCAGAGATTTTAGGTGAAAGATGATATGTTCAAGTTTTAAAAGGCAGTCTGGCTGTCAACCTTTTGGTTTATTTACGTCTTCCAGGAAAACTTAGATCCTGTGGGTCAAACCAGCAGTGCTCTGGATCCTAGTTAGTGACGGCTTCAGCATGTTCTTGTAGCCATTCCCTTTCAAAAGCAGCTTACCAACTCACAAACCATTTGGTGTTCTTAATACGAACTTCCAAGTATACTTGAGAAGGGTGTGTTACCAACTTGCAAGTGGCACATGCGAGAAGATCAAGATTGTATTGTGGCCCTTCTGAATCCAACTCTTGGTTGGATTGTGCACTCCCCCTCTCCTCTCCAGAAGCCGTACATTCTATAATTACCTTTAACATCATTGCATGTCAGAAGGAAGGAAGGAAGAAGTGGGGGGGGGATCTGTATGGAGATTTGCCCAATAAGCAGCGGGTTAGATTAATTTTTAGCATGAGAACTTGTTGGTCCTTTCTCAGAGTAAATTCATAATAAGTATCTTTTCAGCAGTGCGTGACATACCATGGCAACCAGCTTGCACCTTCTCTCTTCGCTGGCACGTGGGTGGGTTTGTCTCCTGCTTGGATATGGTTTATATAATGTTCTTTCACACACCATGCATAGCCACCTACATTTAAATAATCCTTCAGGGCCAGATTTTTCCAAAGCCTTGAGTGGGAGAGATGGGGGGGGAAGTGGCTGGCTGCTTCATTCTGAACAAAGCAGAGCAGAAACTAGGTCCCAGAGAGCTGTGCTCCGTGACGTCTTTCAGTTTTCCTGAGCTTTGTGTTTGCACACCGTCATCCCGATGATTGCAGGGTCTGAATCACATGCCCTCCTCTAAGGGATCACAAAAAGCTGCTCTTAAGGTCTCACAAGTTCCCCTTTAGTGGATGTCAAGGAGCTAAAGACTGGGCACAGTGTGTGGTGGCCGGCGACTGGTGGTGATTCAGCCGTTGTGCTAGTGTTGGTTCTGGATATG